AACCCGGGTCTCGACGTTCGGGCGCGAGAGAATAGCGGTGGTTTATCCACGTTGTAAAATGCGGCGGGAATGTTTTCCCTCCCCCTATGCGAAAATAGTGGGTCGTAAGCTAGTACGCGAGCGCGCGCGCGCATACACGAACGCGGATGGTGAAGCGATGCGAAGGCTTGGCTGAGGTCGGGAAGCGGCGTCGCGTTCCACGACGCGGCGGCGGCGGCGGCACATGCCGTATACAGGTGCCGCTCCACTCGTACATCAACAACGTGATTCCCATGCATACTGCTCACAATCTCGCGCGTTGCCTGCGGGAGGGGGCGCGGAGGGGTGAAGATGCATATGCATACACGCGCGACCCTCGGGGTTGCGCGTGCATATGCGCCTCTTGTTTCCCTCAGGGGAACACGCGTGTACATCTCTCGTCCGGATCTCGTGCGCGTCTCCGTCTCGCGCTTGTCACGGGGCTGAATTCATGTTCCGAGGTCGCGCCACGTCGCGCGCGCGATCGTCATTCTCGAGACCGATAGGAAAAGACTGGTTATTCAAATCGCATTGCTAAGCTACTTGCTCCTTGGATCTCTATCGACAATTTTCTACGTACTGGAAAACTGTCTTATGATATAATAAGTCGCGTTACAATCATTTGCACAGAGTCAAATCGATTTTGGCTTTTTAATTATATTAATTGTAAGATATTGCTCAACAGAGACGGACAAATCTGATTAAAAAATAGGCATTTGCAAAATTTTTTTTCTTTAACTTTTATCTTAAAATGGTTATTATGCTCTGTTATGGCTATTTTATTCTATACAATATAATATCTAATTTTATACTATAAAATATAAACTAAAAGACAAATTTTGTTGATAAAGTAATTTACAATATATTTGGAAAGAGCATTGAAAGTAAATACAACAAAATCTACAAAAAATGATCAAAACTAATGGTTAAACGTCAATGTAACTGTAAAGCGTTAAATGTATTCTTCAGATCTATGCTCAACTTGATTTATTGAAGTAATATTGCGCTTGAAGAATTTCTTACTTCTTTATATTGCTCTTTGATCTTTCATAATTAGTACATTGCATGGCAGTCACGATCTTTGAATAATTTCAGAAAAATCGTCTTGAAAGATAAGTCTAATTAAGTCTAATTAATTGAGTTCTTTATTAATGACTTGCACTTTATCAAAGCTCAATAAACGATAATTATTTTCCCAATTGTATTACGCACATAATGGAGTATAGAATGTGATTTGAACAAAAGCATCAATTATTTAAAAAATTTTTTCAAAGTTTTTTTTTATTAAAATTTACTGAATTTTTCGAATAAAATATGATCAGTTAGTAAAAAGTTATTGAAAAAGAAGAAAAATATATTCATGATTAATTTTGTTACATTATTTTTTTCAATAAAATTTCTAGAAAAATGCATAAAGGCTTTTAGAAAAAATCTGATACATATAATGTTGGATAGCGAATACCATTCACTCGATCGCTCCACAACGTCTCAAATCGCATTAACGTTTCAGTAAGTTCTGATAACGTGTGCATACAAACGACGTATGTGAGACGCGTAAGCGAAAAAGTAAAAGTTAGACACGCGTAAACTTGAGATTGATTCCCTGTAGGAATTCCTGATGTATCCCGAGTTTCCTGTCAAACTTTTCACCGACGATTACTTGGTTGTGCTCACGCGACCGTATCTTTTCGTTTTACTGATCTCTTTTGCGCATCATATTACGGCTCTGTGCCCTACGTTGCCTCGCTATGTGGTAATTTTGCTGGAACATGTCGCACGGGGCGCTCGCAGTAAACCACGTACCAACGATGGGTCTCGTGTTCAAAGTACCTGCTTGTAATTGCACGCGGCCGTTTGTGGGTGCACAAGGGACGCACGCGCACCCCTGGGATACGGAAATACAGGGGACATACCGTCGAAGCGTTCGTGAAATGTAGCGTTAATCTCATTGCTGGCCAATCGCATTGTTGCAACGCAAATTACCTCGAGTCATTTATTGCGGATGACCTTTACCGTGAATGGGAATTCGTGTTGTAAGAAGATGATTCGACGGGGATGTAAGCTTCATCAAGTTTTTTGAATAGTTCGTTAACATACAAGAACATGTAATAAGATACATTTTCAATAGTTACGTTTTTTATTACGTTCGTGCACTTTTTAATCGTGGATTATAAGTGCATTATAATCCACGCATTAATTTCGAAAATTTTTAATAAAAGTAAAATTGTCCACGGTAAAATAATAAGAACTTTGTTCTTGTTTCAAGTTAAACTTATTCTACAAGTGCAACCGAATCTACGTTATGTTGAAATGTTGCAATATGAATGCTGTAATTACGTTGGAGGAAACAGAACTCTCTCGCAACTGCGAGTAAATACATGACAGCATTTTTTATTTGTTCATAATATATTTACTTTTATGTATTCATAGTTACGTGGTATATGTAATATTATCAACGTTTAGTTTTTAACATAGTCATAAATGTATAGTTCAAACTACAACATGTTTTCACATGCTGGCGCGTATTGCGTGAGAATTGAGAGTACATTTACTGTTTGTAACGTAATTATTGCAATTTTTAACGCAATGCTGGAAAATTGCAAACAAAAAATCCTGACGGTTGCTGAAGAGAGAATGCTGCACGTATGAATAGAGAAGTACTTCTCGCACTTTGATTCAACAGTCAAATTTTTCTTTTTCGTCGAGCTCCTGTGTCGACAGGATATACGAGGTTAAAAGCGGCGAAAAGGAGTTCGCCATGAATATCTCTTTTTGCGCGTCGCGTAAAAACAAGCGGTGGGGAAAGAGCAAAGAGCATATAGCGACGGTGCGAGTCGCACGAAAGAAAGCAACTCTCAAAGGACGTTGCGTTACAAGTCACTCTCAAAGGATGTATCCGGAGTACACCAACCGCAAGGGAGTCACGGTAACCCAATAAATAAAGAAGCAAAAATGGATAAATCGTGGCGAGCCGGCCAAACGGCCTCCGTTTTTAGAAAAAAAAATCCCGGCGCTCTTTGTCTCTGGCTGTTTCGCTCTGCTTTAATGGGTTGTTTTTTTACTCTCAATGGGCGTTTCCCGTCCACGTGTGGCGGAAAAAGGATAGTACAGCGGTATTAGTAATGACGAGGCGGCACAATAGTTGATAGTTAACGCATAGATGCATCGGTCGGGCGCGGCCCGGTTTAGTTTGCGCTTAACGATGCGCAAGCGTCGCCCGAATGATACAGATTGAATAGCAGCGGCAAGGCAATGTTGGTTACGAAGCGTTGATTCGTGAGAGAAGAAAGGAGACACGAAGGGACGGGGTGGACGGATGGGCGGGTAGGAACAGTCAGTGGCCTTCATTTGGGTGCAAATGGAGTTTTTCCTAAATGGACGTTTCAAAAGTTTGCCGCTGTCAGGCATTGTGTTTGGTCAGGCGGACGGAGCGAGCGGAGCGAGCGGAGGGACGTGGAGAGCGAGAGCAACTGCAGAATCAGTCTGCCAAGGCTTTGATTAGCTGGCGCCACGAGGCAAAGGCTTCCTCCAATGTTCGCGTCGTATTTATGGTCGATTCGCTCGTTCTTCTCGCGACAATTGTCGCTCTGTTGTTTCCTGCTTCTTTTCCTGTATTTTTCTCAGTCGTATTTTCTTTATCTCTTTTTTTTCCTGTTTTTGCGTTAACAATGGTGTTTTTCTGCGTCGTAGTGGTATTTTTATGTATTAGCAATGCCATCGTTCTTCGCGAAAAATTTAATAAAAACATGCAGTCATTATAATATACGTAAATAACAAACATAAATTCAGGCGACGGTGCGAAATTAATTTCTAGCACATTCAGAAATTAATTTGAATTTTGTATTAATAAACATTGTTGGCGTCACTATGTTTTGATATTTTAAGTAAAATGCGCAGAGAATAATATTAATTCTATTTGACATATTATAATTTAATTACTGAATATTATCAAGACCTTTCATCTGTTGTTTATTTGACAAGAAAGTATTCTATCTTATTATTATTCGGAATTGTTCTTTTATGTTTCCATTAAAAAGAAGTCCATTGATAATCTTCAAGGAACTTCTAAAAATTGTTTTTTTATTTTTTTTTTTGCTTTTCAACTTCAATTTAAAATTTTATTACCTTATTTTGTTTGCATCGAAGCGAAATCACTGTTGATCCGGGTTCATTATATAGTTGATTGTAGATAGGTCACGTCCCGTCGTACGCTTGCTGAAACTCTTATCTTCGTAACACCACACTTAAGACGCGTTAGATGCAATTAATTATGTACTTATCATCTAAATTGTATGTTATCTATTTAGCTGAAAGCTGCTGAGTCAAGAAATCTGACAGTTAGATTTGATAAGAAAACAAATTTTGGACTAGATAGTTCGACGCTGATATTGTTTATAAAGTCTTCGTTCACTTTCCTTTTTATTCGACTGTAATCGAAAATAGGGTTTTCGCATCGAATGCGAAAATCTCTGAACGAGGTAAATTTCCGTGGTTCGATCAGACGTATATTTGCCGTTACGAAAAACGTGATCGAAAAACGAGCGACGGGGTACTAAAAGGAAAAGCAACCGATTTCCCGTTGCTTTACGGCGGCAATTAAGCGCGACTTCGCTTCGGAAACCGCAACTAATGCTTGCCTCTATTCGATCCTGAAGCTTCATTTGCTGCTCACGCGTTCAATGACACCGTTGCCACTTTGATCTCGAGCACTTACGAAAGTGAGATTGCTCGCTCTGTGATCGTTGGCATTTATAGCAGATAACTGTTCAACTGCCGTGATTTATCGAAATGCATTGCGTATAGTCGGAAAATACTATGTAACAATCTCAACAGAGTTTAAGAAATAATATTCTTCAAAATGCATATTTCATTGTTTTGTAACCATTTAATTGTTACATTGCCATTTATGACAATTGAATGCAATCGTTTTTCCATTGAAATATACGTATGGAATTACCTACAGTTAATCAATTTCTGTGCAGTGCCGAAGGTGGAAATAGTCGATGAGCACGGTGCCACGGCTGGTGACAAGTTCTACAAAGCAGGTAGTACAATAGAACTGAAGTGTGTAGTCAGCAATATACCGCAACCGACTGGCTATGTCACATGGCGGCACGGATCCCGTACATTGAATTACGACACGACTCGGGGTGGCATCAGGTGAGTTGTAGATAAGGTAACATTTTAGTATTACGAATACTCTGCAGCACTGCCATTGTAGTCGATAATGTGCCAACTGATAGTTATGGGAGAGGAATTTTAATCCGTATTCGTGTCGTTTCGTTATGCACCACCTATACGGGCAATAATTATTGCGCTACGCTTAGATGTAGTTAATTAACATTCCAGCAATTTGGCTGGCGGACGCTTGATAGTTTATGCAGTCTGCATAGATATTCTAATTGCTCCGATAAAGAATGATACGTCCGGTGAATTTTGAAAGGCTTTCATTAAAGTTCCCCAGCCGATGGTCAACAGTTGCGGCGGCTTCCGCTGTATGTGACCTAATTGGTTATAGATATGACGCGGCATTCATGAATTTCAAGCGGCACTTCAAACAGTATTTGATTTTGTCGGTTTTGTAAAAGCGATTTTTCAATCAGCCGTTTCTATCAATAAACCAATTTCGAATTTTCCTCAGGCATGGTATACATATTCTCTTTGTCTTCGACGCATTTATTTTATCTATTTTAACTATGATCGGTTAATTCACTTCACACTTTTGATTGTTTCGGAATAAATGTAGTGTCAATATAGCGGTGCTCGGAAAATCTCTGTACGACAAATTAGCAATATCGAGATAGCGGTGTTGAGGTTGAAAGAAAGGGTGCAGTGAGGCGTTCGGAGACTGTTGACAATTTAATCACCCTCGAAAACGCTCGATTATAGTGGTCCGACACATGATGAACGAGCGCGCTGCTTGTGCCAAACGCAGGCAGCGAAGCTTTGAATAAAACATACAAAACTTTCAATCAACCGGGATCGCAGGTACGATTAAAGACCGGTTAACACAAATTAGCAATTGTGGGAATTATTTTGAAGTGATTAATAAGTCTCATTATTTATTTTGTAAAATTGAAGCACAATTTGGAGTAAAATTGGAGTACAATTAAATAACCGATTAAATCTATTCAACAATAAATCCGCTTTTTCAAGTTCATTCAAGAGAAGAGAATTTTAATTGAAGAGAATTTTTATTCAAGAGAATTTTAATTGATTAATCAAATCTATCTCGATATCCGACTAAAAATTTTTTTAATATAAAATAACAATTTATTTTTTTCAGTAAAAATTTAAGTAATATTTACGTAGCATTTATAACGGTTTTGCATTTTGGAAGATATTACATGTACATTCTATCATTTTTAACACAAGCTTAACTTTTTCATTTACATATTTGAAATTCGTGCAAAAATATTACGCGATTATTTAAGCAGCGCTTTCTAGAAATTTGCATAAAAGATTGCTTTCATAAATCAAAATTATACCTACAAATGTCACGCACGGGCCATAAGACGTAACAACCGTTTTTATTCGCTCGGAGTGGGTGCATGTGCGAGCGATGTGATATTATGTGGGAATCAGAACAGCGTACGGGATGCGTACGCAATTTATCGAGAACATTCTATTACACTTTGATTGCTCCCGGGAGGCGTTTTGCGAGATCGTTTAACCGAACGCGTCAAATGCAGCGCTGCAAATAAACGACGCTCGATCGCGCCATGTCGTCTATCGTGATTGCTAAATCCTATCGTATCGCTGTGCATCGGCTTCTCTCATTTAATGAGCTATTATGAAAAGACTATCACGTCTCGTGAATTGCACTCTCGCTATATTCTGAAAACATTTTCGTAGGGATTTTCACAGTGGATTATATTCGCACACAGCGCAGAAAAATTAATCGAATCTCGCTATTTATAACATAATCCTTCACATAACTTCAATTAATTGGCCAAATCCGCTATGCTTTCTTACGTGTCTGGACGCAGTCAAGTTTTTTTCTTACCATTACCATTACATTTCAAATTGACGTATTTATATCTTTCCTTATCTAACTACACGGCTTGTATTTCTATGTACTTGTTAATGCGAAAACTCTCACTGGCTTCACGTTTAACGACTAAGGATGCAAGGTTGATATAGTAGGCGGTACATCGGCGAAGTTAGTTAGCAGTATAACGTTATTACGCTCTCCTGCACGTAGTATTACACTTCACTGTCTCTAGTGCTTCGTACGTAGCTTGCCCCGACCTCCTGTCTATTACTCTTCACCTTGGGCACTCCCCTAAGTTGGTCAAGTCCGTGAGTGCATGCCTCGAGCATGCATGGCCAATGCGATGCCGGGCTTAACATAATCAAGCAGTCGAGGTAACAGGGAAATCGGTGATAATGAAATAACAGTTCATGTATGTACAGAACTTCCAGTAGTGGTGTGCAATTAGAGAAATTTTTTAATGCTCTGCAGCGCGGAGCTCGCTGAAATAATTTTAACTACTATGGCAATATATTACGAGACGCTTGTTCCAACTGTACAATATATCAAACTAGTAAAATAATCCACGTTATTTAGCAACAACGTATTTTCACTGTAACATATGTTGGTCTTAATCTTGTACTTACGAAAGGATTGCAAATGAATTAATATAACTGACGCAGTTGTCACAACCGATGTCGTCTGACATTAATTACCATTAATTATATAGTTTAACGTCATTTATAACAGCTTCAAAATTTCCGAACGTCGAAAGCATTTGTAGAAATATTGGATTGTTGAGCCTCGTGAAATCAATAATCGCTGTGCTCCATTTTCTATAGAAATAAGAGAACGGTAAAGATCGAACGTTGTTTCAGTTTAATAATGGATTTCAAGTTAATACGTTGTAATAAGATCGCTGATAAATATAGAGTGAAATACATTGCATCGCGTGGTTGCACACAGGAGTGTCACATTGTTGGTTGGTGCCCAGATCGCTTGTCTGTAGCAATGAAACGTGCGGGCTGATCCATTACTCGGCAAATCAATTAGGACACAGGCGCAACCAGCGTCGTACTGTAGAAAAAAAGCGTGACGAAAACAAAGCGTTTAATCGGATTTTGTTTTATCGGCTGTACACGCTGAAGCCACCGTGGCAAATATTTCATAGTAACAAGGGGAGACACCGTGGTTCTCCTCTTTTTTATATCAGTGTCCGCGATAAAATAGGCCCCATATTTCAAAATTCTATTCCGGTCGCGGCTTTTTGTTATTCTCTTTCCGGAATAACATCGCTGAAATGTCGACGTTATTACTCGGCCTTCTGCCTGATACCTGAAAGATTTAAAGAGAAAGTAGTATAAGTCAACCATAAAATATACATCTACAGTATTTAATATTTCCATTTGTTAATGTTAGAAGCTCTCCCAAAATATGATAAAATCTCTTTAAAATAAATTGTAGTTTCTGAGAGAGATAAAATTTTCTCGTAAAATCAGATATAAAGTAAATATTAAATTCAGAAATTTGTTTTTAAAATAAAAAATGCTGATCAAAATTATTAAGAATTAATTTAAATTGTTTTAATATAATATAACCTTATTACGTTATATTAGCTCATTATACTCATTATCTAGTTAAATATTGCACAATTGTATTATTGGATTTTGTATTTATAAATATGAAATGATAATTTTATCAATATATGTATAGTCAGAGATTGTGACATTTCTGGTCACAGGGATATTTACCTTAGTATGAAATAAATAATCATCATATAAAATGAGATCAAAAATAGAATTTTTAATTACATCGTAATAATTGCTTATTTTCGAAAACTAAAATTGATATAAAAGAGATATGGTTATACAGACTGTTCCTTCGATCAAAAGTTTGTGCCCTCCGTAAACTTTTATGGAACTTACGGGATGACTTCTTCATGGCATTTCTCTGCAGAGTGGGTCGCTGTATATGCATCGCATGCTGCGGTTTTGCGACATAACAGAGGGGTGACTGTACAGAATATGTTATAAATAAATACCGCGTGTTCGTGAAGTTTTTTCGTGTTGGCGTCCACCGGCACGATTTAACTTTTAAGTTGCCCTTATTTTCCATCGTATTCCACGCTGCGCTCGAATATATAAGAAGAGATTCTTAGAAAAATGAAAATAAATTTTACGTTGTACGAGCTGAACTTACAGATTTTTAGAAATTGAAATAGAAAGTTATAAAATATTTGCTAATTGTACATGCTTGAGAAAGAGACAGTTATCTGTCGATACAATTTTTGTTCAAAGTAACGTGAATTAAATTTGTTATATTTTAGTCACATTTTAGTCACATTTTAGTCGCATTGATATAATATTTATGCTAAAAAAATAAATTGATCGTGACTGGTCTAAAAAGGATATAAAGTTATAATTGTTAGTGGCAACGCGTTTTTGTTCCTAGACGATAATAATGACCGCACAAACTTTTCCATAATTTTATAAAAGTTTTCTACAAAGTGCGATTAAGGTGGAACGGGCGCTTTCCTAAAGTCCGACCTGCTTCTCATTAAAGACGGTGTTTATTGGAATTGTTGTGCATCCTCTTTTGCATTTTTATGGATAATTCTTGGCGGTAACATCGTCCGCTGCTCGTTCTTCTCACTTCTCGTCATGTAGTATCGTATTTTCACGTTGGCAGATCGTTCGCAGCGCAATGAGCCATTAATGAGAACACGAATGAATATTCATAGCGCTTGTAATAAAATGTCATAATCTTATACTTCAACTAAAAAAAAAGAGGAACGCTGTTTTCATGCATTTTATAAAAACAGCCAGCAGAGAAATACAGAAAAACGAATCTCATTTACGCGACCGCTAGTAATAAAATAATTAAGCACGCGTCGTGAATTTAATTTGTGTGTAAGTAACTGCGTTTGCAATACGATCTACTGCGTACTACGATGCATGAATATCGAATAGATACGAGAAACAAAAAACTGCACAACATCAGTTAATTTATGACTGACATACACACATGCGCCAGTAATGTGCAAATTAACTGAATAAGGATTTATATTTATACAGTTTTAGGGGCGAGAGTGATATAAAGGAAGTACATCGTATTTTTTACCTTGTGTTATTGTATGACTATATTTTGCGTTTATTTCTTTTGCATTGAAACACTATTATAATAACAA